CTATGCACACAAGGCAACAATTATTCCCATGCATAAATAAACAAATAAATAATTAAGGTCATAAATAAATATCCACTATTATGGCCAATTAAATATTTATTCTCCTTGGATTAGGATTTCTGTCCTAAACCAACTGGAACTCCCACTGCAGTAGAATCCCGGTTGACTTGTACTGCAAGTTCCACAAAACCTCCACCAGTAGAAGCCGCGGCCGCGCCGGCCAGCCTTGGCTCCCGGCTCCAGTTTCTTCCTTGTTTTGTCGAGTCTCTTTGGATCTTGTGAAGGCCCGGTCTCCAACGGTCAATCACAATTCGAAAAATATAATTTACAAAATTACATAAATCGATTCCTAGATCCAACGAGTGGATGTACATGCTTTCTACTAATTAATTAAACTATCCGGTCAACCCCCGGGCAATTAATACAAGCATTCATCCATAATTCCTCGACAATCCCGAGGCTTTAAAAACAAATTTAAAACCATACAACCAACCATCAATTAAGCACAAGCACATAAAAGGGTGGCCATAATAGTGGATTAACTATTTCCTGCAAAACCAAGTTATGCATATAATCCAATATATATGGCTGCGCTTGAGCACACATAGACAATATAAGCAGTTTAATCCGGATCTTGTACATAACGGATTAACCTCAAGCTCTGATACCAATTGTTGGAACCCATGAGGATCTCGATATGCAGAAATTACGGACAAACATTCAACATAAACCTATGCGCAGCGGATCTAAAGGTTTGATGAAGAAAACTTACTGCTTAAAATTTATGTAGATCTGGCTGGCCTGAACAATTGACCGCAAATCAAATCTTCTTGGAATCGAACAAACTTGACCAATCCAGAAAGCTGACGTCACGGCGAAGTCAACGGCGTTGACCGATCGGAATCGGAAGTGTCACGCACTCTCACGCGCTCGATTAGTCTCCAGCAACTGCAACCTTCCGGCGGCGCGTGCGGGCGCGTGCGGCGGCGGCTGGCGGCGATCTCGACGGCGATCTCTTGGTCTCGTCGTTCTGGTCGTCGTGGTATGGTCACTTGCTGGTTTTGGTCTCCGGTTTTGATGTATGATAGATCTGATTGGAATCCCGTATATACCTTAAGATCTTCTACTGTATTCTCAAACAGCTATCTAGATCTTGTATCAGTGGAGCACAAGAAATAGAACTACCCCTAGGAAGAGAGAGAGAGAGGGGCGGACGATTTTTCCAAATTGTGGAATTCTTCTCTTCTTCCATGAGCTTAATGTTGTATATATAGAGCTACAGTAGGGACCCTAAGGAGAATAGGATAAGGGCT